ATGATTTATATTTGCAACTTTAAAAATTAAAATGTTTAAAAAAGTACAAATAAAATGACAAAAGCAATTATTTTGTGTAACAACAAAAATATAAAGAAAATTCCGTGATTAGAACCCTCAGTCTTTTCTTGCATCTCGATGTGTGAAACCATTGAACTAAAGTAACATGCTGGCTTCACCAACCTTAATGTTCATTGGCTGGGTAAGGTCATGTGATAGTAGAAAATCGATCAGTGAATGTATAGGCAGGACACCTCTCTCTATTATATTTATGTATCAAATACTTACAGTTAGGTAATTAAGACAAGTAGAACATGGATTCACATCAAAAAGGAGAAACAGAAGGAAAAGAAAACATCTTTTATAAAAATAAACTCAAAAACAAATTTCGTCCCCCCAGTAAATAGACCTTTAGTTCCCCACACCTTGTTATTAATTACTAGACGAAAGGCCCGGGCAACGCCCGGGGTTTACCCGAGTGCGAATATATTTCAAAAACGTTGTCTTGGGTGGCCGCGATAGACAGGGTGGTCTGTATAGACAGGTGGATGTATCACACAGCTGATAATAGGGTTGCCTAGAGTGACCGCTATAGACAGGGTGGTCTGTATAGACAGGTGGATGTATCACACAGCTGTAGAGTGGTCGCTATAGACAGGGTGGTCTGTATAGACAGGTGTATGTATCACACTGCTGATAACAGGGTTGCCTAAAGTGACCGCTATAGACAGGGTGGTCTGTATAGACAGGTGTATGTATCACACTGCTGATAACAGGGTTGCCTAAAGTGACCGCTATAGACAGGGTGGTCTGTATAGACAGGTGGATGTATCACACAGCTGATAACAGGGTTGTCTAGGGTGGTCGCTATAGACAGGGTGGTCTGTATAGACAGGTGGATGTATCACACAGCTGATAACAGGGTTGTCTAGAGTGGTCGCTATAGACAGGGTGGTCTGTATAGACAGGTGGATGTATCACACTGATGATAACAGGGTTGTCTAGGGTGGTAGCTATAGACAGGGTGTTCTGTATAGACAGGTGGATGTATCACACAGCTGATAACAGGGTTGTCTAGAGTGGTCGCTATAGACAGGGTGGTCTGTTTAGACAGGTGGATGTATCACACAGCTGATAACAGGGTTGTCTAGGGTGGTCGCTATAGACAGGGTGGTCTGTATAGACAGGTGGATGTATCACACAGCTGATATCAGGGTTGTCTAGAGTGGTCGCTATAGACAGGGTGGTCTGTTTAGACAGGTGGATGTATCATACAGCTGTTAACAGGGTTGCCGAAAGTGACCGCTATAGACAGGGTGGTCTGTATAGACAGGTGGATGTATCACACTGATGATAACAGGGTTGCTGAAAGTGACCGCTATAGACAAGGTGGTCTTTATAGACAGGTGGATGTATCACACAGCTGATAACAGGGTTGCTCAAAGTGACCGCTATAGACAGGGTGGTCTGTATAGACAGGTGGATGTATCACACAGCTGATAACAGGGTTATCTAGAGTGGCCGCTATAGACAGGTGTATGTATCACACAGCTGATAACAGGGTTATCTAGAATGGCCGCTATATACAGGGTGGTCTGTTTAGACAGGTGGATGTATCACACAGCTGATAACAGGGTTGTCTAGGGTGGTCACTATAGACAGGTGGTCTGTATAGACAGGTGGATGTATCACACAGCTGATAACAGGGTTGTCTAGAGTGGTCGCTATAGACAGGGTGGTCTGTTTAGACAGGTGGATGTATCACACAGCTGATAACAGGGTTGCCGAAAGTGACCGCTATAGACAGGGTGGTCTGTATAGACAGGTGGATGTATCACACTGATGATAACAGGGCTGCCGAAAGTGACCGCTATAGACAGGGTGGTCTGTATCGACAGGTGTGTATCGCACAGCTGATAACAGGGTTGTCTAGGGTGGTCGCTATAGACAGGGTGGTCTGTATAGACAGGTGGATGTATCACACAGCTGATAACAGGGTTGTCTAGGGTGAACGCTATAGACAGGGTGGTCTGTATAGACAGGTGGATGTATCACACAGCTGATAACAGGGTTGTCTAGGGTGGTCGCTATAGACAGGGTGGTCTGTATAGACAGGTGGATGTATCACACAGCTGATAACAGGGTTGTCTAGAGTGGTCGCTATAGACAGGGTGGTCTGTATAGACAGGTGGATGTATCACACAGCAGATAACAGGGTTGTCTAGGGTGAACGCTATAGACAGGGTGGTCTGTATAGACAGGTGGATGTATCACACTGATGATAACAGGGTTGTCTAGGGTGGTCGCTATAGACAGGGTGGTCTGTATAGACAGGTGGATGTATCACACAGCTGATAACAGGTTGTCTAGAGTGGTCGCTATAGACAGGGTGGTCTGTTTAGACAGGTGGATGTATCACACAGCTGATAACAGGGTTGTCTAGGGTGGTCGCTATAGACAGGGTGTCTGTGTAGACAGGCGGATGTATCACACTCATGATAACAGGGTTGTCTAGGGTGGTCGCTATAGACAGGGTGGTCTGTATAGACAGGTGGATGTATCACACAGCTGATAACAGGGTTGTCTAGGGTGGTCGCTATAGACAGGGTGGTCTGTTTAGACAGGTGGATGTATCACACAGCTGATAACAGGGTTGTCTAGGGTGGTCGCTATAGACAGGGTGGTCTGTATAGACAGGTGGATGTATCACACAGCTGATAACAGGGTTGTCTGGGGTGGTCGCTATAGACAGGGTGGTCTGTTTAGACAGGTGGATGTATCACACAGCTGATAACAGGGTTGTCTAGAGTGGTCGCTATAGACAGGGTGGTCTGTATAGACAGGTGGATGTATCACACTGATGATAACAGGGTTGTCTAGGGTGGTCGCTATAGACAGGGTGGTCTGTATAGACAGGTGGATGTATCACACAGCTGATAACAGGGTTGTCTAGAGTGGTCGCTATAGACAGGGTGGTCTGTATAGACAGGTGGATGTATCACACAGCTGATAACAGGGTTGTCTAGAGTGGTCGCTATAGACAGGGTGGTCTGTTTAGACAGGTGGATGTATCACTCAGCTGATAACAGGGTTGTCTAGGGTGGTCGCTATAGACAGGGTGGTCTGTATAGACAGGTGGATGTATCACACTGATGATAACAGGGTTGTCTAGGTGGTCGCTATAGACAGGGTGGTCTGTATAGACAGGTGGATGTATCACACAGCTGATAACAGGGTTGTCTAGGTGGTCGCTATAGACAGGGTGGTCTGTATAGACAGGTGGATGTATCACACAGCTGATAACAGGGTTGTCTAGAGTGGTAGGTGGTCGCTATAGACAGGGTGGTCTGTATAGACAGGTGGATGTATCACACAGCTGATAACAGGGTTGTCTAGAGTGGTCGCTATAGACAGGGTGGTCTGTTTAGACAGGTGGATGTATCACACAGCTGATAACAGGGTTGTCTAGGGTGGTCGCTATAGACAGGGTGGTCTGTATAGACAGGTGGATGTATCACACAGCTGATAACAGGGTTTGTCTAGAGTGGTCGCTATAGACAGGGTGGTCTGTTTAGACAGGTGGATGTATCACACAGCTGATAACAGGGTTGCCGAAAGTGACCGCTATAGACAGGTGGTCTGTATAGACAGGTGGATGTATCACACTGATGATAACAGGGTTGCCGAAGGTGACCGCTATAGACAGGGTGGTCTGTATAGACAGGTGGATGTATCACACAGCTGATAACAGGGTTGCCTAAAGTGACCGCTATAGACAGGGTGGTCTCTATAGACAGGTGGATGTAACACACAGCTGAAACAGGGTTTGTCTAGAGGGGGCGGGCAGGGAGGTCACGTGTTTGCTGGCGGCCAATGGGCGCGCATTCTATCCGTGAGCTTCAGACAGACAGACAGACAGAATAAGGCAAATATATAAGTAGATCATCTCGGTGTTTGCCTCAATGTGCTGCCTCTCATTCCCAATTCCAAAACACCTTTTCATATTTAAAAAGGAATTCGCTGTGAATATTTTATTAAACTCAACCAAAAAGTGGCATAATATCGTTAACTAACGTGGGGTGAAGCAAAAATAAATAATATAAGAAAAATTAAAGGACTGTTTTCAGAGTAGAGTTTAGAAATTTTTGAGGATTCATTCAACTAATTATATAAAGAGAAAACGAAAATCTGGAGAGAATTGCCTATGAAAACACGTTAGACCAACAAATTCCAAGGAAAAGTTCTTTAATATATAAGGTGCTAAAGCAAATTAGACTCGCAACTGCAATGAAAATCATGAACTTATGGAATCAATCAATCAACAAAGATGTTTAGTCTTCATTAACAACCTGTCATTTGAAAATATAATGTGCTTATTATTTGATAGAGACCAGCATGAAAATCCTCATTTTACTGGAAAAAAACTTCTTGACAGAAAAATTAAACGAAGCTTACGAAGCTTTGAATACCTTTCCTCGAATAAATGAATAGTTTAGTTCTTCCTTGGTTGGTCTTTTAGACCCAGCCTGCACCCTACTGACAACTACCTACATCTATAAACGTGTGCATTGCTGAAATCCCTATATAGTCAAGACCGTCATGGGCCGGTTCTGTCACGGATGCGCGCCCATCATCATTATGATCATTAATCATTATCTAATGATAATAATAATAATAATATTATTATTATTATTAATTATTATTATTATATTATTATATAATAGTCACAAACCGTCTTTCCTCAATTCCTCAATTCCTCATCAGCCGCTGTCACTGTTGAGCTCGCACAGGGAGTCACGTCTCGCCGGCAGCCAACGGGCGCGCGCCGCCGCATACGTCATAGATTATAAACACAAGGTTAATAAGCCAAATAAAAAATAGTGTGATAAGGCACAATTTGGAATAATCTACTTATATAATGCCTTAGTTCTGTCTGTGTGAAGTTTCACTGTGTGAAGTTCAGCGATAGATTTTGGTCAGAATGGATAAAATAAAAAAAGTGTCAAGGGTGATGGCAATCGAACCCACGACCTTCCGCTTACCGGGCAGATGCCATGACCACTAGGCTACCCTGGACATATTTTTCCGTTCACATTTTTTATTTATATTTTCAAGACACACACAGTTTGGGGCGGGACGTTTCACAAAAGAGACATCCACGGCGCCAATTTATAAATTGTAACGAAAGTCTTTTAATTAAAACATTTTTAAAATATATACACATCGGGTAAAACCCGGGCGTTGCCCGGGCCATTCGTCTAGTAAATATATATAACAAACCATTGGGGAGAGAACTTTTGAAATTTTCAAAGATAGGACAACTTTATTGACTTATGCTTGATGACTATTTTAGTAAATAATTATTATGAAAATCTCTTTCTAGAATCATTCTACATAGATAAATATAGTTACACAGTAAATCCAAAGCAGGAAGTGGAAAAAAATGCATCGAGAAAAATTAACGAGCAGATTCCTCCTCAATTGAAGAAGCTAAATTGTCCAAAACTCTCAACACCTGAAGCCAACCATAGATTATAAGCTTTTATCTACTACAAGTCAACAGTGTCTGGATAAACATCTCAATGTGGGAGTGATGTGTAGATCCGAGTAGGTCTACTTCCTTACAACTGGGGTCTACCTTATACTAAGTAGTTGCTGATTGGAACACGGGCAGAATAAATGTTAAATATAGGATTTTAAATATAAAAAAATAATATTGTATAATGACATCAGTTGCAGTAGGAAGATATTCATTTATCAAAAAGAGGCACCTCTGCTTTTAAAGCTGTCCCAGTACTGATGAGGTCATAGCCAAGAGAGAGTTGGACTCAGACGCCATTTGTGTTCTTTGTCTAGCCAAGATGTACAAAGATAGAGAGAGAGCGCCAGTTGGTGAAGAGATGCAGCTAGCTTCATTAAACTGATGCGAATTGGAAGGAATGCAAAACGTGGGACTTGCCTTCAACACCCGCTGTTAGAAGGATCCTTGGTGCAGTGGGCGGCATTCTTGCTAAGCGTCCCGCTCTGTACACAGTCCACGTCCGGCCTGGGCAACACTGATTTTAGGCTGCTCCGCTGCCGACCGACACACCATTCTGGTGTCCACTTTCTCAGAGCAGTCGCTAACCCAGCCTGTGATTAGCTTCAGGAAACCTCCTGTCTTCTGGCCAACAGCTGCTGACTACATCATGATTTTTATTCAGGACTCCTTACTGTAGAACTGCTGTCTCCAGACTGTCTTTTCTCTCTCCCTCCTGCTAAATATTTTGTTAACTTTAAGTATATCAAAATTCGTTTTGCAGCAACCCAGTACTTACTAGAGTATCTAGAGCAATATTTCGGGCCAATCGTCTTACTGCATAAGAAATATCTGGTCTTTTCCGCATAGAAAGGTAGGGTAATCTACCAATTAGTTCGCGTGGGGAAGGTTTTGTTGTTATCCTCATTTTCATCTTCAAAAATTCTAGGTCTTGTCTCAATCGGCGTAAACACTTCTCTTCCTTCGTGGATGTAACATTGAAATTTTAAAATGATCTGTCTATAAGAGTGTACCAGATATCTAGAAACGAGCATATTTCTTTTTCTCTTTAATCGGCTGGGAGAGCCGTGTGGTTTTCCTTCTTCCTCTGCTTCTTTCTTTCAATTTCAACCCAAATCTCTCAGGGATCCTATAATTAAATTAATAGAGTGACAGCTCTCCAAAGCTAAACATGGCTCTGGTGCAAGAATTTTCTGTACTTCTCCCCTGATGAATCTTCAACTTTCGACTTCCAATCTCAGATTTTGTAGCAGATTGAAGGCTGAAAGCCGCTGCTCTCTTGAATGTTCAGTATGACATTAACACTCTTTCTCGACTAGAGACCTTAGAGATTTCAAATTTGACAGACTGTGTGTGCACCACTTCTGCCTGCACTATGTTCTATGGTGTCTTTCTAATTTTCCAATGCACACATGGCAAAACTCTTCTCTACAACCTCATTATCTACAACGCTATTATCTTTCTTTAGGGTCAGAAATCATGCAGGAACTTTGGCAACTACGTTACTGATTTCTCCTTCTTCATTTTCTTTGACTTTTTCTCGATGTACACCTTTTATTAAATCCTTCCTCGTTTCCAAAGCTTATTCACACACACAGTTTGGAAAGAAGAGTATATTTCTAAAAACCAAATCTCTTTATTCTACTTCCTTCTCTTCCCTTTTCTCAGATTACTCATTCATCGGTCTGACGTCAGCAGTAATTAAAATACTATCTCTCTGGCCACAACGTAGGATTCACGTCTATGCCTTAGATTAGATAAGCTAAAATAGCATTGTGCTCCAACCCCTGAGATTTTTGAACACGTCTTCTTTTATTAAAAAAAACGAACTCACTGGAGAGTTATTCAAAATTTATTCTAGGATTCCAACTATCTTCTTTGCAATCCAAACAAATTTGGCCTTTAGCCTTTTATTTCGCTGAAAATTGCAACATGTTTTGTCCAGTAAACTTGTATCCTCTTAAGCTCATTTACTCTTCATCATACTTTATCTTTCCCCCTAATGATCTTACTTCAATTATTTTATCATTCTAATTGATTTTGAACTACCTTAACACTTCTTTCACAACCCAAACTTGTGATACCGCTGGATGGTCAGTGTAGTGACAATTAAAATAATTTTATTGACTGTCAGTCAATGTGACAACTCAACCAGGAGGGTGAAAAAGAAATATTTACATTTGACAGTTGTCAGGAATCAAGGCATCGCCGCCTAAGACTGGCCAAATCGGAGCTAACATCGGGATGTTTGCCCCGAGCCGGTTCTATGGCCGCGCTGAGGAACTCAGCGAGGACTCCCCTCATCGCAGGTGTCAGTCTCGCCATGAGGGACTCTCTTTCATCGAAGAAGAGAATGGCATCCTTGAGGTCATTCGGTTGGATCCCTGATTGATATAAGGGCCCTAGGCAGGTTAAGTGCTTCAGTTTCTTGAGGATTTCAATAACCATGCACTCCTCCCTCATGGTCGGCGTCATCTCCTCCTCGTCGGGAGCAGGTGGTATCGGCCCGGCAGGCTGAGGCGCGGGCAGTGGGGGTTTGGAGGCACTGCGGCTGGCGAGGTCTTGAGCGCCGCCCTAGATGTCGATGTCTCCTCGATTGACATCTCAACGTCCAGTGTAGGGACTGCAGGCCCGTGACTCCCAGGAGCCCGCAGGGACGGAGCAGGGGCGACAGGTGGAGGGGCAGGAGGCGCCATCTCCATAGGTACGGCCGAGGCCACTGGTGTAGATGGCCGAGGTGCTGCAGATGGGGTCACAGCTCGGGCCGCGTGAGAAGCGCCGGGGATCTCCATGGCTGTACTGGAGGGCGCCGGTGCAGGAGGCTGGGCCGCTGGCCGCTGAGGTGGGGCAGAGGTGGTCGTTGATGGGACGCCAGCAGGAGAGGTTGGTGGGGCCAATCTGTAGTTGTTGGCTCGCCCTGCAAGCAGGGGGCAGTTGGCCCTGCGATGTCCTTGGCCGTGGCACCTGGAGCACTTGATGCCCGAGGACAAATATGCGGGCCAGGCCTCGCCTTTAATAGGGATCTCAAGGCGGGTAGTGTAGTGGTCAGTGTAGTGTACCTACACTCGTGGACAACACTTAAGGAAGTTGTATCTTTTAACATGTATATATCGGGATTCAGACAATAACTCTGAAATATATTTGATACACAGTGACCTTTATTGAAGAAACACGATATAACAAAGTGTGAACAAAATTTCCTCTGTCTCCTTAAAAATAATTAACAGACGACCAGTGACATCAAAGTCTTTCCACTTTCTTAAGTTTTGGCCATGTATATATAAATATTGTTTACCATTGCGGCTGCATGCTTGATATTTTCGAAATGTGATTAAGATTGAATGGATAATTTCATAACAAGGGATGTGACATGGCTGTATGGATGCGAGAGTGAAGCTAAACGGCAATCAAACGTGTGGCTAGGGAAAGATGAGTCTCGCTCGAAAAAGTGCAGAACGCAAAAGCCCAAGCTGAAGATCTTGATTGTACCATTTTTTGACAGTAAAGACATTGTGAAAAATAAAATAGTATAAATGTGAAATTGTACTGATTAAGGTGGATAAATTAAGAAAAGGGAATCTCCTTATCGGCAACTGAAAGTTGCTGATGGCTTTCGCCATCTATAGGAATAAATATCAACTATTCGTTGATTTTTAAATATTCCAGAATTGACCAAAAACCCATTTTTGATTAATATCAATATAGAATAATTAAAAATCAACTAAAAGTTGATATTCATTCCGATAAATGGCGCAAGCCATCAGTAACTTTCAGTTACATGATAAGGAGATGCCCTTTTCTTAAGTAAAGACATTGTTCACTCTGAATTCATACAATAGTGATTGACAATTAATTTGTTTATCTAGGGGTTTTGAGAAGCTTAAGAGAATTCGTTTGAAACGTCAACAAATGGAACTGAAAAAAAACTGGCTTCCTCACCATGACAATGCACACGACACACTGCACTCATAGCTATTGTATTTATGTTCAAGCATGAAACTTCGGTTTTCCCCAAAATTCCTACTCCACAGAACTCACTCATAATGCTTTTTTTTTTTAATCTTAACCCGAAATATTTTTTTAAAACACTGAAAAAGAAGAAGAATCGAGATGATAGACTCCATAAAAAAAAAGGTAAATGAAAGAGAAGTGTTAAAAATCTGAAATTGCCCAATGTAAAAAAGATGACAGATGTTTCGAGAGGTGATTATTTTAAAAGTTCCGAATAAATTTATGTCCTGGAAGTGTGAAGACGTTTCAAGCAATATCTTTGTCTCGAAATACCGTTGTGGAAAGAGTTACTGATGTTGCCAGAAATTTAAATGATCAGATAAAAGAAAAATCATCTTGTTTCGAAGCATTTTCCATTGCCTGTGATGAGAGTACGGACATTGGGGGCGTAGCTCAGTTAGCTGTTTTTTTTTTCGAGCTTGCGACACGGATTTCAACATTTTTGAGGAATTATTGGAACTAGTACCTATGCATGGCACTACTACAGGAGAAGATATATTTAATTGCGTTTATGATCTTCTGCAAAA